CATTTTGCCAATTTGTTGAACGTGGTAGAACAATGGATGTATTCAAATGTTGAACAATTAAATAGGTAATCAATATCAAAATTGGAATAAAAAGAAAAATTTTCATAGATGATCGTTGAGATGAACTTGATTGAGATTTTTTTATTGTTGGTATTGAATCAACAATTGATGGAATGGATTCTGTTATAATTCGTTGTCGAAGTTGATTTGACTCATCTGAAATATTTTGTGTTTTAATTTCATCACTATTATCTGATAATACTGTTGAAAATAGGCCACAACTTTTTGAATTATTATGATCATGTTCATATGAAATTGGATTTTTATTTATTGGTCGATAATCATTCATATTTGGTTCATTAAGTAAAATATTTGAAAGTAATTCTTGTTGTTGTTGAAATGCATTTAAAAGTAAATGATTCGATGATATTGGATTTATTGCACTTATTGGACTAGATGCTGGTGAAATATCCATAGCTGATATGTTATGAACAGAATTCATTGAATCATCCATATCTGAAAGAAAGACTGACACAAACAATGATAGAAGATTTTTTTTATTAGAAAACTAAGAAACTTGATAAACGTATTAAAAGTTTAGAAGATCGACTTTTCTATATCATAGATTTACTCGAACAAATAAACTTATATTAAGGCTTACAAAAAGGAGGGATCCACAAATTGTTCATAACTGTAAAATAAAAGTTAGACTTGGATAACTTTAATTTTTCGTCGATCTATGTTACAATAAGATCTTTTATATTTATATTATGTTTAACTTTCAATAAAATCTAGTTTGTCTTAGCAAGCTTATTTAAAGTATGAATAATATATTATGGTATTAAATTTTATTAAGTTGGGTTCCAACCACAAATATTGAAGGACTTGTTAGCTTACATGTTCCCTGTACTAGAACAATAAGCATCTTCTCTCGGAATCTGATACTCAAAAACTATGTTGATTTGTTTGTTTCTAAAAATACTTTCGAACATCATTTTCTGATGTCGATGCAGAAGTTAATTGTATATATATTAGAATATGATTAGCGAAAACGAACACTCTGTCTACTTAAAAATAATAAGTACGTGCTATATTCCCTTGTAAGAGAAATGAAAACTAGAATTTATTTGTAAATGAAAGAAAATTATTTCATAGTTTTGCGCCTAATAAGAAACGAAATCTGTTTTAGATTTTTTTTAACCTAAAACTCAATTTCGCCAGATCTGATTGAGGAGTAGAGCTGATCGGATTGGTCCCGAATCCGAGTCCAAAAATTTTGTACCCGACAGGCTCTACTGACGAATCTACACGATGGATGATTTTTGTTCAGTAAAAGTACTGAGACATTTTTTGTTGCTTAG